AACGGGTCGTCACATTATACATATCACCTTGAAATCCTCCAAAATCCACCAAATCACAAATCCGTTCAAATCCACTTTCTTTTTCAATACACCTAAACTTTTAGAGACTTTCTAAAAGTTATGATTGAATACGCCTAAATTTATAGGGAATTGTAAGAAGTCTTTAAGAATCTCAATTGAATACACCAAGACTTTTATAAAGTCTTTTAAATTCTCAATTGAATACACTTGGAATTATTAATTCCCTGGAATTAAGGTTTAATCAGTAATCTGTTCACATTCATTAATTGAAAAAAAGAAAAAAAAGTATAATAATTGCATCGGTCAACTCAATATTAATTATAATAAATGATTAAACTAATTAAAAATTAATAAAATACATTTAATAATTAAAAAAAAACATTTGAAGCTGCTGTCAAATTTGACAGCAACCTCTTTTGCTGTCAATCCATGTCATCGCCACATAGGATTTGGCACTTCGGTTAGAGAATATTAGTGTGGTCTTTTTTTACTGTTATAACTGAAGTGTACATGAGATGATCTTAGTACTACGATCTAGTGGTATTCCTCTTCACTTGTAAATGAGAGGTCTTAGGTTCGATTATTGCCAAAGACAAATTTAAACCACATTATTGCTAGCCCATTATGAGGCTAAACCCATCCATTCAATTTAGCATAAATAATATCGTTTGTTAAAAAAAATAATGAATGTTTCCATTTAATTTCTCATTTTTACAATTAAGTAGTTAGAATTCAAGTCGTTTAATAATCTTTTTTATTTTTTGGTAATATTCAACACTTGTTTTAGTTGTTTAGTATCCAATTTTAAAATTGGAATTTTAACGAAAAACTTCCCCTACTATTTATTTTAACGAAAAATTACATTTTTACACTAAAATAATCATCTTTATCCTTTATTTTGTCATTTTCATTAAAACTCAAAATTTTCAAGTCATTTTCCTTTTAAAAAACTCACCAAGTAACTTTAGTCTTTTAAAAAAAATTAAAAATAGAATAATTATTAACAGCTCCTAAATAAATTATTGTATGGACGTCATAAATTTTCTATTACCCATTGTGCATCGGATTTGAGTTCATTATCTTCTCTCATAAAAGTGATAACATCCATGGTAAAAATATAATATAATCAAATTAAAACGAATAGAGTTTAGACAAGTTAGAAGTAATGTAATTCTTAATTCTGAAATTTTTATTAAAATTGTCCAAGTTAAAATAATTTCCTCTTGATAGTAATACATACTTGTATTCTACGAGAAAATATACATTTTTCATTGTTGCGAACATATGAGTAGCTTACCTTTAATGACGACCACAACCCTTCTTTTCTAGAAAAATAAAGTTCTAATGACTCAGTGGTTTAATACATGCTTATTAGATGTTCAAACAATGCACCACCTATCCAATAAAACCCTTAAAACTGTTTTAGGAAGGCTAAAAGTACTTTATGTCAATCAAAATCGCTTCTAACTATGTTTGAAACCCTTATTTTATTAATAATATCGGATTTGTATTGTATCGCTCTGAACTTCCTTCTATTAAAAAAAAAAAACTGAAATATGTAAAAGTGTAAATGGCCCATCTGGAATTAATGACTACAGTATCGGCCAAAAACCAAAAATCTCAAAAAATGGAGGCCAACTACATAAATACATAAAACTATAGGGACCGCCACTGGGAAACTCCCTACTCTGAATCTCTGATACAATGTGCGCCCAGTTACCAGCAACAAAAATACATGAGCTGCAGCACCCAATCCCCAAATCCCTCTCCCCAAACCCTAACCCTAATTTCCTCCACCTCGCTCCGGTGACATGACCTAGAATCCCCGCCGTTTCTGTCGAGTTCAGCTCAGACCGTGCACCAATCAACGAGCACCAAACAAAATCCACGACGATGCCACCGCACGCCGATCTGGACCGTCAGATTGAGCACCTGATGCAGTGCAAGCCTCTGCCGGAGGCGGAGGTGAAGACGCTGTGCGAGCAGGCGAGGACGATCTTGGTCGAGGAGTGGAACGTACAGCCGGTGAAGTGCCCGGTCACGGTTTGCGGAGACATCCATGGCCAGTTCCACGACCTCGTCGAGCTCTTTCGGATCGGCGGCAACGCCCCCGATACCAATTACCTCTTCATGGGCGACTATGTAGGTCAGTTTGGGCATTTTCACATAGCTGTTGTTTAATTAAGTAATTTAATTTATGTGCTCTTGAGATTTAGAAATAGATTGAATTTTTGGATAATGTGGTTTGTTCATGTTTTTCTTTCAGTGAATTTTAGTAATTTAGTAATTTAGTTTATATGGTTAAGTTAGTTAATATGTAAATGCAGCAAGGTGAAGCAGGCTGTTGCTTTTTTAAGAAAAATTAGTTTTTAGCTGGTCACTCTTGGTATTCTAAGGATTTGGGCAGGTTATGAACTGTTGCAGTAGACGATGAGTTTCGTGCGTGCTTTACCCTATAAGGATGAGCTTTGTGCTCGTTTGTGTTATTAGATTTTACTCAGGTTACCGCACTAGGCTGAATTTGTGGCCTCCTCTACTTCCCATGTCTAACCGAGTCACGAGTTTTGTACATTTTTACAATGCGAGCCTTAAAGTTAGTTTTAGCTCATAGGTTTTTTGTGTCTTTGTTTTTTCGGAATTTATAATTAGTTCCTATTCTGAGTAATGAGCATACTGTCAATTTTTGAAAGTTGACGAAGATAATAATTAGGCATGTTTTCATGTAAACATGAAATTGAATGTCATTTGAGTCTCTGACCATGCAGTTGCAATCTTAGATGACAAAAGATGTAATTTAATGTTCCACTATTGTAGATTGTTCAATCATTTTTTTTTTACCAGAATATGCCTGTGCAACTTTCCTTTTTCTTATGCAGATCGAGGATACTACTCTGTGGAGACTGTCACACTCCTAGTGGCCCTGAAAGTACGTTACAGAGATAGAATTACAATTCTAAGAGGAAATCATGAGAGTCGGCAAATAACTCAAGTGTAAGGCATTATTCTTTTCAAATGTTTTCATTCCAAATTCCAAAATTGCAACCTTACAAGTATTGATAGTGAAAACAAACTAGTGGAATTTGCCACCGATTCGGAGGAGGTTTCGATTAGTCATGTAAGGAAGCCATTTATAAGTTGTAGATAACCTTTATTCGCTTCACTAAGTTGTCAAATACTCAAAGGAAGTAACTAAATTTGGTTGAAGTGATGTAAGAGTGATTCTTAAACATCAAATCCTGATTTATATCAGTAAACTGTTGCCTTTTCAGGTATGGTTTCTATGATGAGTGCTTGAGGAAATATGGAAATGCTAATGTCTGGAAGTTTTTCACTGACCTTTTTGATTATCTGCCGCTCACAGCCTTGATTGAGAGTCAGGTTTAACTTTTGAAGATATTATGTCCTGCATCATTATCTTGTTATTTCCGTTATCTCATTTAACAAGCTTTGTTTCCTCCTCATAGATCTTTTGCTTGCATGGTGGACTCTCACCTTCATTAGATACACTAGACAATATTCGTGCTCTGGACCGGATACAGGAGGTACACAGAAGTTTCAACTTCATTTTAAAATTCTATTTCGTCTTTGTTTTCTATAACAATATATTTTTTCATGAGGAAGTCTGTTTTATGTGTGTTACACAAACTAACACAACTATATAGCTGAGTTGCATGCTTACATAGTTGTCACAAATTGCTTTCCACATAGGAGGGCAAATTGCATGCTTATATATTTTTTCGTGATTTTGCAAAATTGCCACATAAAAGGGCAAAATTGCATGCTTATATATTGTTTTGTGATTTTGATCTGCATGTTCTATGTTACTTTGGTTGTTGGGATCTGCTTGTTTGTTAACTTGTATATGATATAAGACTTGAGTGGTCCTGAGTTCCAATATTTAACTCGCTTGTCTATGCAATTTAAGTTCCTTGAACACTTTTAGCGCCTCAAGTATATTAGTGTAGAGAGAAATCGCTGACTAAACTTCGCTCAAACATATTCAAGTAACACATCACTTACTCTAGGCTTGTATTAAAGCCTTCCATGTAAGACTTATTTCAAGATATTGATTTACGGACTGCTGCCATAAGCATCTCTTGGTACAAGTATTGCATTCTTATTTCATGGTATATGCATAGAAGATCTGTGGTAATTATAGTTTTCCCTCGTTTGAATGGATCAGGTTCCTCATGAAGGTCCAATGTGTGATCTCTTGTGGTCTGACCCGGATGATCGATGTGGGTGGGGAATATCTCCTCGGGGTGCAGGGTATACATTTGGACAAGATATAGCAGCCCAGTTTAACCACACTAACGGGCTAAGTCTTATTTCTAGAGCTCACCAGCTTGTTATGGAAGGCTACAATTGGTCCCAGGTTAGTGCATAAGAAGCAGAAGTATCGTATCAAATTTATGCTTTCCGAGTTATGTTTTGAATTTTGTTTAATTATTTTAGGAAAAGAATGTTGTGACGGTGTTTAGTGCTCCAAATTACTGCTATCGCTGTGGAAATATGGCTGCAATTCTTGAGATTGGAGAGAATATGGACCAGAATTTCCTTCAGTTTGACCCAGCTCCTCGTCAGGTTGAACCTGATACATCACGCAGAACTCCAGATTATTTTTTGTAATCCGCATAGCTTACCGCCTATTAGCAATCTGCTCGCGTCATGTTGCTTTTTGTAGATTTGTCTTACAAAGAAGATGAGTTTTGATGTTTAGTTGAGAAAGAGACGGAAAGAAAACATATCATTCTTTTGGTTAAAGTTGTTCTGCTGCTTAATTCTTGTGATTTATAGGATGATTTCAGTAAGACTTGTGTCTTGTATTAAAAGAGTTGAAACGAATGACGACGGAATTAGCGATAACATGTTCTTTATGAGCTGCTTTCAGTTTCCGATGAACGGAAAGATTGGTAATCTGTCGAATTAGGTGGTATCCAAGTGGTTTTTCGATTTACATGTCGGGAGACCGACACGGCTGAGACAAAAATAATCGATTTAGGGAGGGGAAACCTCCTTCATGGGTAAAGAGAATACAAAGTACAGGAAGTTCATATGCTTTGGGATCCATACATGAAGCAACGACTCTAGTGTAACAGAAAAACTCTCTAATGAACAAGAAACAATCCGTCTGCGGAGGTTCGCCCGGCCCTTCTGGTCCTCCGCGGCCGGGTTTGCTCCTCGGCTGTGAGGTTTTGACCTCACCTCTTCTACCTTCCTTGTAAAAACAATAGATTTACAGATGAATTGGAGCTTCAAGCTATCTAATTAAGGAGAGAGGGTGATATAATGTAAAACATGTAGAACTGGTATAAGCAATTTTACCATCGGTACTATTAGGGATGCCGGAAAAATCTACGGTAACCCGTTGTGTTCCTTGTTTTCCTCCGGTGGCATCATGACGAGATGCCGAAGCTTCTGTAAGTTTTGAGTTATCTCTGTTAAAAGTTTTGTTCCTTCACTATGTTTCTCAAGTGTCTTAGCTGCATACTCTAACAATCCTGTGTCTGATTCAAGGACCTTCACCCTTTCACTGAGATGAGACAACATTGATAATTGCCTTGTTAGAGCAGCTTTGTTTCCGTTTCCTGTCAAATTCGAAGCATAAATCGGGTCATTTGTTTGAAACGCAAGAGATTTAACATGCTCGTTTTTCTACTTATGCGCGTGTGTTCGTGTGTGCGTGTGTCTGTGTGTGTTACCTATCTCATCCAGATGATTAGCCGATAAGTTGCTTCTCTTGTCGAGTTTCTTAATCCGACCGAGGAGGTAGGTTTTCTCCCCCTTCAGAGGCTTCAAAGATTCAGCAAGTGCTCCCTCTACATTCTCCTCCCTTGGTTGATCATTTTGTGTGTTTTCGCTGTTGAGCTCACCAGCAGAAGTTCCACTTTCATTTTTCCCTTTGCCTTCATCACCAGATTCGTAAGCAAATTCCTTCAGCAATCCGTATTTTTCTCTGTACGCCTCTACTTCAGCTTCTATAAGCCTGAGCTCCTCCTCTCTTTGGGCAAGCAGATCATATGTAGCTTCCAGCGCTTCTTGGTCATACTCCGCCTGTTCCTCCATCATTCTCTGATACTGCAAGGCCTCCATCTGAACAGCAGCTTTCTCTGCTTGTAGCCGGGTGATCATAGCCATTGCATTGTTCGCTGCCACAGCCGAAGCGCTTCTTTCTTCGTCTAGCTCCATGTACAATGCCATCAGCGACTTCCTATCTAACCGGACCTGCCTCTTCAACCGGTGCAAAATGGAATCACACTCTGCCTCATTTGGAGTGCTTTCCTCGACAGATTCCAAGGCATACTCGCCGGTTTTTTCAAGTGGCGATTTCCTCGAAATCCTCATTGCCACCCTAGGACTGTTTGTAGCCGAATCTGTAAGTGGGATTCCGAAAAACCTGTTTCCTTTACCGAAAAGAGGTGTCCTGTTTGCATCATCAGCCAAATCTTCGCCTTCTGCTTTCGGATCTTCCTTGACTGCTGCACAAATTCCATCCTCCGAATCAGTTAATGGTTGCGAAAAACCGAAAAACAAAAAACAGAAGGCTTAAACAAGTTTGGGAAGTGAATGAAGGCATATAAATAGACAAGGATGTGAGCAAATAATGCATAACAAGTTTTTACGTTACACTCACACTGAGAGTCGCGATTCGGCAGTTGTGATCCATACTCGTCCTCTGGAAGCTCGGACTCATGATCCGACATGAGTTTGAGTTCAGTGCATCGAATGTGGGGCAAGTCCAAGCTGCGATCATCGCTTCTCAAGGGTGCTCGTGGAGAAGGCGTGGGCGCCTGCGCTAATGCGCTGCCATTTTTCCCCTTGGGATAGGAGTTGGAAGAGGAGCTCATCTTCAATGGCACACCACAACACGAACATGAAACCCGAACAATGCTGTTGCTCTTCTCAACCTGCCCTGTCGTCTCCTCCCACGTCCTTGCCGCCTGCACACTCAGCTGAATTTGGTGGTGATCATCCTCGACAAAGCACTCGAGATCCTTGTGCAGGATCCCAACTAAGGACTTGTAGGTATCGCAGTCAGATTCTTTCTCGGTTGCAAACGAAAGCAGGC